ATATTTTGTGAAAAAGTAGATTTATTTTTTTTATTTTTACTATTTACGGTGACGTAATCACTTTAAGAGCTTACTGGGGTAGCAAAATGTGTTGAGAATCAAACGGCGATAACAATGAAATAAAGCAATAAATATTCATTACAATTTATTATAAATATATCATAACAATAACATAAAATCAATAGCCTGTAGTCATAACAACCGTAAAAAACAACAACTTCGCAGCGCGCAGCACACTGAGCAGAATTACCTACATTGCTAAACACGAATTAGTCAGCCATTATGGCTAAATTTCCCTTTTCACCCGCAGGCAGTCGAGGCGTTGCGGCCCTCGATCAGCCCAACACGTTACGTTACTATAGTTATCAAACAAAGCAGCAGCTAGCAGCAGCAGTAGGAGAAACGCGCGTAAAGCCTACAGTCACTCTCTATTATATCAGGAGCGAATTTATTTTATTTTATTTTTAACCTGATTTTATTCACACCAGATTATATCATTATGTTATATTAATCGTTAAGAACATTAACTCTTTCCTAGGCAAACGCTTCATAAAACTTTTTTCAATAGTTATTCCATGAACGCATGACGGTAGACTAAATAATCTATTCTAGTAGGTAGTATCAAAATGATTAAGCTCATGGTTATATTACAATGCACGCAAACAACATTATATAAAAATGGTAATAAAGCGTGTTAACAATTTCATACGTAAGAACTAACTATGAGAATTCGCTATTTGAGACACGATTGAATAAATAAATGTGTTTTTATTCACTCCTGGAAACACCAAAGTTCAAATTCGGAGCGATGCTCTCCCTTACCCCATACCAATCAACAGTGAATAAAGCCAGACCAAAAGCAGCGGCTTTGCACCGTGGTGACATCTAGTGATGACCCTTGTATCCTATCTTTTTGTGGCCAAGGTGCCAAAGATGATCGAGACCATGTCTGATGTGGGTAAAGTGTTGACGTTTATGGCCGTAGCCCTTGCCGTGGCCATGGCTGTCGCCCTTGCCGTAGCCATGGCTGTCGCCCTTGCCAGAGCCATAGTCGTTGTAGTTTCCGTAGCCTCCGCTGTAGTCGTGGCGAGGTGCGGCCACATGCACGTAGGTGGGTGAGACGTGTACCCTGCTCGGCCGGGTGTACGACACGACGCGGTAATTCGGTTGCTCATGCGAGTATCGTGGATATGACGACGCATGGTAGTGTGACCTGTAGCTACCGGTATATCCCTGCGGATGACCACGGCCATAACCACCACGGCTGTAACCACGGCCATAACCACCACTGCTGTAACCACGGCCATAATCACCACGGCCATAACCACCACGGCTGTAACCATGCTCTCCCTCACAGCAGACGACGACCTGCAACACACGTCAGTCAGTCAGTAGTCGCCGCGTTCACCAAGTACCGGGCCGCAGGGGTTGAACATAACGATGTACTTGGGTGCAGGGCATGGCAGGAGCAGCAAGGCTAACATTACCATGAAAACGAGAGAAGGCGCTACGCCTAAATGATCGCCATTTTGGTTTTCGAATATCGCGCAAATAAAAACAATAAAATATTCCAGTCCAGTTACTGTAACGAAGAATCTAAAACACAATATTACACGTATATAGGTATGATGATTGTAGAGTTGTTGACCAGTTAGACGAAATAAACGTAATAGGACGTTGTCATCTCTCCCATAGGAGTAGCAACTATTTTGGGGCTAGCCATACACATTCACATACCAAAATTTAACAAAATTGAATGAATTTAGATAACCATTTTCATTTTTGCCAAAAAGTGGGCGTGGCTCGAAAGTAGGTCGACTGGCGTGCTCCAAAATAGGAAATTCAAATCTCTCCCATAGGAGTAACAACTGTAGTCAATTTGAAACATGTGGGTCAAACGGTTTGGCATGCGGATTTGGCAATCTTAAAATTTGGTGTGGGTTTCCGATAAATGCCGAAGGTTCTTCGGGCACATAACCTTATAGAAAATTGCCTCCAAAGGTCACTTTATGATCGAAAAATCGTGTTCTAACGTAGCGGAATGTATTCGGGACGTCCAGAAGGGGCCCCAGCTCGATTCGCGTGAGAATACGTGGCACGGTTTCGGAGGAGATACGGAAAACGACACTTTGGCTCTTTCTACTATTATATTATAGATTATATTATAGATGGTACTCATGGCATCGGACCATAAGCTAATCACACCTACACGGTGTAGCGCAGTGGATATGCGCCCCGTATATATACAGCCGAAGTCGCTATTTCACCTAGGTAATTCATATTAATATGTTGAAGTGTAACTCACGAGTAAAATCAGCAACGGTGCAGCATACTTCATAGCTTGCGTCACCCCCATGCTTCGCAGTTCGCTGACACTGTAAATCTGAGATAACGACATATGAGACACGGGGTGCGCGTGCGGTGTCGAGTCATCTTTTTCGTAGCAACACGCTCGAAACTCCACACCCACGCGCTCAGAGCAAAATTAACTCAACTAGACATCGGATCAGAAGTACTACTACTAATCTAAGTAATAAATTTAGTAGTAGTAGTAATCTAATTTAGTAGTAGTAGTAAGATCTACTTCTGATTGCATAAAACTACTCGCATCATCGAAATATATCGTGTTACATCTCGCGGTATCGCGCCACCCCACACAGACGAGTGTGGCAGTATCTAACTGTGGCAGACGCGGTCGCGATGATAGGCACACTTACCTCGCTGATGATGAAGTACCTGCTCCTAGATCTCTATGACAACAGCCGTGAGAGCTGAATGCGATACTGTGAGCTGACGACGGCGACGGAAGCTCTTATATCGGTGCTCAAAGTGTGTATTTGGGTCGCGGCGCTGTGATGTGAGGTGACTGCGATTGACCCTTGCTCCAGTGACCAACAGAACTTGCTAATGATGTCAGTGACCAAGTCAAAACTCTACGCCTCGATTTTTTATCCGGGTGAAAAGACGCGTGCGGCGATGACAAGTTTATTGATAGGCTACACCATCTGTCTATTCCCAAGGTGCATGTTGTCATTGCGTAGATTCAGTATCAGTAACATTTCCTTGCATTAGGAAGCCGTCAAAACGAAACGTCATGATCAGCAGATGTGTGTAGTATCACTGCACCCACCCACTCATAGACCAACTTACTATAAGAAATCTAGCTTCGAAACTAACTCGAATTCCTCGACTAATTAGCTTAACGACAGCCTTGGCAAGGTTTTGCCACAGCAATTAAGAGTGAACCATCTAGTGTCAACTGGCGCTTGCTTATGCGTGTGAAAAGCAAACGCATTAGCAGCAGCAGTAGCGATAGACGAACGAACAGAACAGATCATTGCCGTTACGTGATGGATTTACAAAAACGAGTTCAATGTTTGTCGTTAACCCGACCAACTGCGGGGGGGGGGGAAGACCGTTAGAAGACTAGAAGACCACTTAGTGGAGCGCAAAAATTGTCACATAAAATAACTTACTGATGACCGGCACACAATAGAGGCGGGCCGCTGCTGCTAGCTATGCAGGCGGTGTCATCGACGTTTGCCGCACGGGCCCTCCTCTTTCTTGTAGATAGCCTCGACAACCTACCTACTCAAATTATGACACCCATTCAGCCCTCTAACCCTCCTCCACCCACCTCCACTGACTACTCTGCTCGTAGACCCGTCCCACTTCCTCCCTACCAACACCATCCCGTTACCTTCCACTGCCCCGACGCCATTACTTCACTCACCCTTCCCCTTCCCCTTCCCTCGCCCACTTAACATTTTAGGAAAGCGAGAATATTCGTTGCACTATAACCAGGAGTAAGATAATATAGGACCTTACTCCTGCTATAACGATGTTAAGCACATTCTCGGAGTCAGCGATGCGATGTCTGGCACCGCGGGTGTTAATTTGCACATTCAACGACTGTAATCATGTTACTACTTGTATCATTAAACTTTAGTTGACGCTTGATAGGACGATATTTATACACGCACACGCACGGGCACACACACGCACGCTCACACGCACCCTCGCTCGCACGCACGCACACACGCACGCACGCACGCACGCACGCACGCACGATCACATGCACGCTCGCACACACGCACGTTTGCACACACGCATACCCAATACACGATCAGATGCACAGACGCACGCACGCTTACATACACGCACGCACACACACACGCGCACGCACACCCAAATATGCGCTAACAATCACGCACGCAAGCACGCGCACACGCACGTGTTGCGTACGCCCACCTAGACCACAGGTACTTGAAACGTCTCAATAAAAAAAAGAGTAAATAAACACGAAATGTATTTACTACCAAAGTCTTAATGTTTCTCTACTCTATTTCGCCTATAATCACCTGTAAATGCCGGTCAAATGCTCATCTGCAACACACAAGTACACCGCATGCCCGCCCGCTAGCCCTGTGCACAAACAACATGAATAAGAGAGCACTCATATTCATGTTGTTTGCGCACATGGCGGGCGTGCGGCGGTGTACTTGTGTGTTGCAGATGAGCATTTGACCGGCATTTACAGGTGATTATAGGCGAAATAGAGTAGAGAAACATTAAGACTTTGGTAGTAAGTACATTTCGTGTTTATTTACCTTTTTTTTGAAAACGTTCCAAGTGCCTGTGACATAGACACCATCAATAATTCGACTGACCGTAAATTCAAAGCCGTGACAGTGGTGACACCGGCGCTCTGCGGGAAGGCAATAAGTGCTCTGCGAACGGGCACTCTACGCACTGCCAGCGGCCACCATTAAGCCACACCGGTAATGACTCACGCGTGAAACGTTTGGCACCCGGCAGATAGATGCGATATGATATGACTACTAGGCACTTAGGATATGACTACTAGGCACTTGAAAAAAAAAACCTAACCCTAACCTTAACCCTAACCCTAATTCTAACCCTAACCAAAAAAAAATTAAATTAAATTAAAGTGCCTAGTAGTCATATCATATCGCATCTTTCTGCCAACACCAAACATTTGCGCCCCAGTGTGCGAGGACTAGAACAATCGTGAACGACACAATCACGCGTGAATCGTGCATCTCGTTAGCCGTGTTCACGCGGAGCAATAAATTCGTTACTATTTAGTGTTCACACAAGGCAAAAATGCGCGGTCCAACAAATACGGAATTTGTTGAAATACGCGGCTTCCCAGATGCCGAATCACTTTTCGTGCTTGCGAAATGCCGAATCTCTTGGACCGCTTATTTCTCTCGTCTGAACGCAACTGAACGCAAATACGGAATTTCTGAAGCCGCTTATTTTATCGGCCATTTCCGTGTGTTCCGATTACACACGGAGATTCCGTCGAGAAGTGGCTAATTGTAGCATTCTACTTCTGTTTCACGTATTTTACTAAAAATTCATTTAACGTATTTTAAATGCATTCATTAAAAAGTTGGATGAAACAGCGATATCATGGATATTCTTTTTGCCCATGGGCGCGGCTATGTGCAATCCGACACCACCAAGCGGATCGACAAGTAAATAAATACGGCATTTCTGAAGCCGCGAAACAGCGTGTTAACGCTCAGGTGGAGTAATTCGCGAATTTGTCTCAGATTCGGTATCTCGCAGATACCGAATTTAATAAATACGGAGTCTCGTCTGAACGCAGCTATTGTCACGCGTGATGGTAAGAGGCTCTTCTCTACGCGCACCATACTCAATGTGACTTGTGATCGCTACCATCTGTGCAGGCACGTCGCGCGTGTAAGCATGCACAGCGACTTGGAACGTTTCAATAAGGAAATGATCGTAAATAAAGACGACATTTACTACCAAAGTCTCAATATTGATCTATTCGCTTTCGCCTATTATTGGGAACAGTGTACCGTAAATGCAGTTCAAACGCTCCTCTGCAACACACAATTTCACCGCACGCACGCAACTGTGCGGAACTGACGGAAAAACAGAAACTCTTTGATCTTTCTGCGAGTTCGTGCACAGTGGCGTGCGTGCGTGCGGTGAGACTGTGTGTTGCACAGCAGCATTTGAGGAGCATTTGCGTGGAATTATTAGTCGACAGAGAGTATAAACATTGTACATAAACATGATACATAGTCAACATAATAATACATAATGTAAACATGATACATAAACAAGATAGTACATAAACATTGAGACACTGGTAGTAAATACATTTTCGTGTTTATTTACCATCATTTCATTATTGAAACGTTCCAAGTGTCTGTGAGCCAGCACCGAGCTATTAGCGAGGACAGCGCGTTTTTTTTTTACGGCGAGGCAAACTCACGCCCCCCAGCACTACAGTAAAAACCCGCGTATAAGAACATAGATTTTTCCAAGTTAGCCTCAACATGTTCTTATATAAATGGTGCTTACTGAAAAATTAGGCTCAAAAGGTTCTTAAATAGGTTCTTAATTGTTTCTACTTTTAATATGTACTAGCTGAAACCCGCGCTACGCGCGGTCTTAGTGACTGTGATGCATGTGTTACCAGTACAGTAGTGTTATGTGTAAGGTGTTATGGTGGGCGGGGCGGCACTGACGTCACTTCCCCTTAGCAACACTGCCGCTGAGCCCTGCGCTGAGGGCCCGGGGGCGATGTATTTTTTTCGCTAGTTGTCAATCAAGAAATAGGGCTTCTAGGCGAGCCGCTGCCATTGTTGACTAGCAAATCAACGTGGGCCCTCAAACTCCTGTTTTTTATGGTGCATTCAACATGCATTGTGACGCGCTCAACCCTAACCCTAACCCTAAACCCTAATCCTAACCCTAACCCTAACCCTAAGTTCTACACCTAAAACTCTAAATCCCTAAACCCAAATGCCTATTTAAAAACATATATATACACAGAATGTATAATTTTTTAATTGTTGTAAAAATTAACTTTGTTGTAATTAAAGATGTTGCCTAAATAAATCATGTAAATATTTTGCCGTTAATTGGGAAAAAAATGTTCAAACGAAAATAAGAGATAGGAAAATACAGAAAAACAGCGGAAATAATTAAAGAAAAATGTATGGGAATTCGATCCACCAACCTTTCATACTTGACTCTGGCGCTCTAACCACTACCCTATTGAATCATAATATAACTTTAGAATTTTGAATGTGCATGTATATGGCAAATACTGTGACGTCATTGAGTGGACGAAACAAGCTCAACCAATAGCAGGCGAGCTCACATACAGCCTATGATTCTTGAATTGACCTACGGAAAAAATCACGCGAGCCGGGAGCATCCGATGAAAACAAAGCGCGAATCGGCTGGGAGCGTACGGGAGATGACGGTACGCATATATTTGCTAATATATTGACTAATCGTGCGTCAATAAACTCAATATTCACAGAGAGTATAGCTAAGACATGTGTCTATAGGTATCTAGAATATATTATGCAAATGATCTCCCGTACCGGCTTGAATCCATACTCTCTGTGAATATTGTGTTTATTGACGCACGATTAGTCAATATAGCAAATATAAAATTATATTATTATATGCACGCGGAAGTGAATTACAGATGATTAAATTTCTAAAATTCTAGATACCTATAGACACATGTCTTGGTTATATATACGCTCTGTGAATATTGAGCTTATTGACGCACGATTAGTCAATATATTAGCAAATATATGCGTACCGTAATCTCCCGTACCGGCTTAAATATAGACACCCCCGAATCAGCTGCTGCGGTAGTTAGTACTGCTTAGAATACGGACGTAGTTTGGCTATTTAATATTTATTTCGTAATTTTTCGAGTAGTGCAATATGAGTAGATCATACTAGATGTATATGACTACGTGGATTATGGATAATATTTCACATGTCATGAGGCAAAGGAGAGATACGAGACCAAACTATCGGCGATCGGCCTTTCCCTGAACGAATGCCTACCGTCTACCAGTACCAGCTGATGCTTGGGTCAACCATAGATATAGATAACATCAGTTTAGTAGGCCTATATAGTGTTAGTATTATAGTTAGTATATTATTATTATAGTATTTATAGTTTAGTGTCAGTATATATATAGATATCTATGGGGTCAACGACCTGACAGCTTGACCCGAACTGCAGTTCGCTGATGTTTACATGTATCTCACGAACACTCCAGAGGCTGTACGTATGAGAGCCATCTATATCTAGATACAATAATGTAACCCAAACCCAAGAGGATAGGGTATCCCTGTCCTCCTAGGGTATCCCTATAGCTGTACCCCTATCCTCTTGGGTTTAGGTTACATTATTGTATCTATCTATATCCGTTATTTTGCTAGTAGAGTTCACGGAATTTATCTGACTATCTGTAGCCAAATTGCTGACGATAGGGAAAATTTAGTTTAGATTGACATTGCAGCTTGAACTTAAATTACGTAGACATCTAGTTTGATTAGTCTAGACTCTAGTAAAGGCTGATATTGATAAACCACAAGTCCTAAACCCAACTAGAGTACGCCAAATCTCAACCTTAACTCTCTAGATTATAGTCTAATAACCTAATAAACCTAATCCAAAATCTAATACTGTTCTCTCTTTTTTCTCTTTTTCCGGCATAACCTACCCGTGAGTGTTGTGGAAGCAACTGACGTTGACACTTTCAAGCCAATGCTTCGCTCCCACATGCATGCAAACCCACTAGGACAATTCACTCCCTGAAGGCACTCACTATACCTTGTCGCTATATCCAGTGCAGTGGATACCGACATGCAACTTGGCAGTGATTCTAGAATTATCAATCGCTGTAAAAATTGTTATGAAATCGCTTCGTCTGCGGGAATGTGCAACTGCAACCTGTAGCGAGTCTGGTCACTTGTGACGAGTTAATTGCAAGAAATCGAAATCGCTCCCAAATTGCTCTAGAATTGCTTCGAAATCACATGTACGCACACACGGTGACACATCGACCGATCGCTTGCGGTTGCAGGTTGCAGCGATGAACAACCAAAAATCGCAGGCATGCACTAGGCTTTAGGTCGACAGTAACGCAACTGACAGGGACGAGCAGCGATTGACACTGGAAGTTGTAGAAGGCGCTTAGGTCAAAGCGACAATCGCCTATAGATCGCGCAACTAAATAAGTTTACATGACTTGTTCAATGTTGCTGTGTGCATGTTGTGTAAATGTCTGTATGCATTGTTTCATTCGCGTTTGAATATCGTCGCAGCGATCGAAAGGCAGCTTGTATGGTAA